TTATCAATAACAAGCCCACGGCTGGGGTGCCGCCGAAGACATGCCCATTACGCCGAGACATCAACAGTTGCGTCAGAAAATCCATTCTTGGTTCGAGCTAATAATGTAAGGAAGAAAGACAGCATTATACACGCAATAGACTGCATTCCAAAATGACGGTGCGAGCGCATTAACCAAAGCTCGCATGTTGTAGCTCCATCCACTTGCCCAACATTCACAAATTCGTCAGCAGAAGGTGATCTCATGCATGAAGAACGGGTGCAAAGGTTACAGCTTTCCATTGAGATTCACAGTTACGCTTCATTCCAAGTCGTTGGCCCTTTTTGTCTCGCGTAAAACGCAAGCGCCATAATATCAAAATCACTATGGAAGTATACAGCCTTTAAGAATAAACCAAGGAAGTGACCAAAATCAACCAGGAAACGACCAATGCCCGGATCGCAGTATTACGCTCAATTTTACGTAGGCAAATAGTATAAGTGTTCACACTCGAGCAGCTCATACAATTTTGATTCCCAAATGAAAGCCCATTCAGAGTAGTAAACATGATAGATTAGAGCAATAGCAAGCTCCAAGTTATGTTCGGATTCCAGACAACAGATTTGTGTGCGGAAACCACACGAGCCAATGGCAGAATATCCACCTCCTGAGAGCATGCGCACCACCACGCTGTTGGGGTTAGTCACAAATCTCAGCCACCGCGCCGGCGGTCCTCCATTCGCAGACGAGTGGAAACGATAGAGCCGGCAACAGATTCACAACACTGCCGGAGAAGATGACTGCCAGGAAGCGTCAGTGGCGAGGGCCCTCTGTGAAGGCGGCAGCGCCACCCACAGGCATGCCCCGCTCCACAGGGCGGCGAAGCGCGGCCAACGCCACCGGACACCGCCACCGGATAGTTGGGAAGGAATCACCGGACAGCGAGAGAGACAGAGAGGCGGCGGCCAGGCTTTACCTCCAGGAGGTCCTTCACGGTTACTGACAGCTCCTCGATCTACGACAAATGGCGCGCGCACTGCGCCGTCAGAAAAACGCCACCGCGATGCAGCAGTATTAACAGCTTCGAAAATATACTGACCCACCAAGATGATGGTAAATAAACGGAACAGACGTAATGCCTACTATACAAGACGTTTAAAAGGGAATGTTCCACATTTGAATATTTTGAAGAAAGCACCACGTATGATGAAATAAGCTCACTTCCAACAATTGGTTTGCTTTACGTGTACAAGACTGCTCTAGACAACACAATCTTTTATTCAGTAATCTTTAAGACGTCAGAGTCGCTACCAGACTAGCCGTGTCGGAAGTGCCATTGTTGCGGACAGATTGACTAACTTTTAGTACTTCGACTTGTCGAGAGTAGCGGTGACGGTGCTGGAGGTGTTTGCTGAACCAAATATCACTATGCGCTCGTGTTTTGGTCCTTTCTCGTGATGTTCTTTGCGTATTTGTCCGTGATTTCATATTGCTTATTGCATTCACGTGCCTGATTTATGCCCTATTCGTAAGTTAAACCGATCCGCAATCTTAATTCCGTCATAACTCGTATCAGTGCCCAAATTCCTGTTCTGTGTAGCACAAAATGTGATCCCTGTTCCAAACCTGTACTCAACGCATTACGTCGGTCGAGAGCTAACTGCTGTCCTCTAAGGCCGGAAGACATGTCGTCAATCGTGCTAGAAATTGTGCCTGCGTACTCTAAATATTACATTGGCCTTGAACACTGCACGGTCAACAAGGTGGCAGTATTCGAGTAACGTTTCTTCGGTGTCATGCATGTCTGGGTGCCCTTGAAAAAGTATGCACGCAGTAGTTCGCACAAGTTCATGGGCGTTAAGTTCAGAAACAAAAATGTTTTAAGTCACAAAAAGGTATGCCTGCGAGCTGTACTGAATGACCTTCAAAATGGCTATCTCAGTGCAAACCCTCGTACAAATGTGGAACACTCCCTTTAAAAGACGGGTGAGTTGTTAGACCGCAAAACGTGGCTACTGTTACACTGTTAACGTCCGAGGCAAAGCCCTTATGTTGCGTCCGGGGCTCTTAGAGCAGACAGTCCCAAGCCAGAGCAAAAATCGGCTGACGCTACAGACAACACGTTCAGTATGTCGATCACCACTAAACCCGCGCTTGGATCCAGCATATACAGCTTTCTCTCCCCAGCATGGCGCAGCGAGACAAAGCACCCGACGCCCGCAGCAGGTGTTGAAGGCATCACTCCAGCTAGTGACGCAAACATCTGTGTTCATCTATATCACACACGGTGACGAACAGTGGCACGGACACCGTGTGCCTGCAAGTGACTGTTCATGCCGGGCAGCACACGACGCCAGCTGTCTCCGGTACTCACCCGTAGGTTGATGAGGATCCTGGACTCGAAAGCCAGCATGTAGTAGAGCGCGTAGATGACCAGCGGATAGAAGTAGACGTCCCACGTGGTCTCGGCGAAGGTCATGTCGCGCGGGTCTCCGGTGCAGTTTGTAACCCGAATCTGGACTAGACCGCCGAGCCTGGCCGCCGGGCGTGTCACGGCCGGTCAGTGCAGGTCAAGGCCAGCCCAGCCCAACCCTCTCGGTCATAACGGTGAGTACAGGCGCTAGCCTTGTGACTGATGGTTGGACATGTGTCAGTCTACAACAGCAAGATCGTCTGTAACAACTCAATGCCACGACACAACAGGAGATATCCAATTCATCTACGCGATCTCCTCTGCTAGCCTAAATCGCCTCCCACGAGAACCGTGCACGCCGCCGGTAACCAGTTTACTATACAACACTGTCACTTAAAAACAAGATAACTAACTCAACGGATCTCTCGCATCGCCGGACCAGCGACATGCGTGTCTCGCGCCCGCGCCGTCCCCAGGGCTCACCTGGCACCTAAGCTGGTGTGGTCGAGGTACACCTGCGCCCACTGCATCTGGTAGGTGTAGACCACGGCCAGGTGGAGGCCCGAGAAGACCATCAGGAGGCGGCAGATGATGCCGAAGGGCCGCCCCAGCGTCCGCAAACACGCCCACCAGGTCATGGCCCCGAGCAGGGTCAGCAGGTACACCGCTGAGGTCACGCTCGGTCGCATGATGGCCGCCCCGGCCAGTGCCAGCAGGGTCAGTACCGTCACTGAGGACGGATCACAGCAGGTCAGTACCGTCACTGAGGACGGGTCACAGCAGGTCAGTACCGTCACTGAGGACGGGTCACAGCAGGTCAGTACCGTCACTGAGGACGGATCACAGCAGGTCAGTACCGTCACTGAGGACGGATCACAGCAGAGTCAGTACCGTCACTGGGGACGGATCACAACAGGTCAGTACCGTCACTGGGGACGGGTCACAGTAGGTCAGTACCGTCACTGAGGACGGATCACAGCAGGTCAGCATCGTCACTGAGGACGGATTGCAGCAGGTCAGTACCGTCGCTGGGGACGGGTCACAGCAGGCCAGTACTGTCGCTGGGGACGGGTCACAGCAGGTCAGTAGCGTCGCTGGGAAACGGTCACAGCAGATCAGTAGCGTCACTGGGGACGGGTCACAGCAGGTCAATACCGTCGTTGAGAAACGGTCACAGCAGATCAGTACCGTCACTGAAGACGGATCACAGCAGAGTCAGTACCGTCACTGGGGACGGGTCACAACAGGTCAATACTGTCACTGGGAACGAGCCACAGTAGGTGAGTACCGTCACTGGGAACGGGCACAGCAAGGTGACAAATGTCGATATTGTTTTAGTAGAGTCATCATGGAAGAGCCAAAACACTTGACTGCATTAATTGTCTGATCTCGGTCCCGTGTAAGGTTTAGGAACGGCCCAGAACGTCTCATCAAACGCCGACAGCAATGCAAAAGGCGAGGGACGTTCACTTCACACCAGACTCCACGAATGGGGGCGCTTCGGTCGCGCCTTCCGCAGAGCTTGTGTTATCCTTTCCCGCAACCCCGACACCCGTGTGCGACTCACGTACCGAGGCAGTACTTGAGCCCGTCCTTTTGCAGCTTCTCGCGCGAGTTGCGGAAGAGAGGCGAGCCGCCACCGTTCTGGATGTCCGCCTCCGGGCCGTCGGCTTGTCGCGACAGCTCTCGGCACTCTCTGCAGACCCCAACAAAGGGTCACAGGTCACAGACCGCAGGTCACAGGATCACGGGCCACAGGTCACAGGTCACAGGAGCAAGGGTCACAGGTTACGGGCATTGCTCACATACCCCCACTCAGAGTCACGGGGTCACGGGTCACGGGTCACGGGTCACGGGTCACGGGCCACGGATCACGGGCCACAGGTCACGGGTCACAAGTCACAGACGTTGGTCAAACCCCCAACACAGGGCTACAGGATACAGAGCACTGATACCGTGGGTCACAGATCAAAATCACTGGCCACAAGACAGACGTCCTGTAACACCTCAGACCTGAGAACGTTAGTTAGGGTGGATGGCGAACGCATCAAGCGAGTAGAAGGAGAAACACCTAGAGTAGCGGAGACAATCGCTGATGGCGGGTTTTGTGAACAACAGGACACTAGGCGGCAAGACCCATCGCCGACGAGCCGCGCGACGACCCTGCTTGTCTTGGCTGGTTTTACATCAGACTGAAATCTGTGTGCTTCAGTTGTAAAGGAAGCGCCGGCGGTGGGGGTTGTGCACCTCGCCGAGTCTGCAGGGCGATACTTAGCACGGGGTGTGAAAAAATATCACGTTCTCAAGACAGTCTATGACAAGGTCAATGCATTCAGCATCAGTACTGACCTAGGGGATGAAGCACGAGGATAAGATAAAAGTTGTTGGTATAAGATTGTCATGCAACGCACATCTCTGATGTGAAGGGTCAGATGAGGGAACAGGATGTTGGTATGGCCGAGCTAGTCTGAAAGCAGCACTGACGTGCACTGCTGCCGCTGGAAGTCGGGCCACCATCGTCTGGTAATGCTGCCCCTCCCCCCCCCCTAATACGCCTCTCCCCCACCTCACACCTGGCACCTGGCACGTGAGCCTGAAGGTAGATTAAATCCCAACGTTCGTCACCAGCTTCTATATTCCGTCCCCGTATCGTATTCAACGTCTGTCTAGACAGCATTACTTATAGGGTTTTGGGATCATTTCTGTTCACGGTCAATACCACCGTGCCGCTGCATCACAAACCAGCGACCCCGATACGCATCAGCCGCCTGTGTGTGGCACAGCAAGGCCCCCCCCCCACCTCCAGTACCACCGACGACAGATTGGTACTGGTTCGCCGACAGCTGGTTCGTTGAGCCATTCCGTGGTAGTACCCACGGGACGCCACGTGCGGCGTGTGAAGAGCGGCGCGCTAACGGACGTCAGAGCTGTCCATTGTGATGACATGGGTGATGCCGATAATAACGAACTAATGAAAACAGAAACATTCGGTAACCGGTACTATTGGGCTTCACCAATGCGCTGAGAAATCTGCCGTGCATGATCATTCAAAACGAGAAGGTAAAATGGCGTTGGGGTCGCAAGCTGCTCAACAAATAGCAATGTTTGACAAATAGCCGGCTTTAAACATGTCAGGGCCCTGGAACATGACACGTTGCAAGAATTTACGGTCTTAGCAACTTTGACTAAAGGATTGCAAAACACGACTATCTTGGATGCGCATAGGTCACCATAACAGAACTACAATGTTGTTCAATCTACATGGTTCAATCTTTCCCCGTTTAGGCCCCAGTGCCTTGTCCTCGAGATAGGTTTCGGAAAAGGGAACAATGATTTCACTTCCAGTCGACTCTCCACTGACGCACCCATGGACCGGATGGTCTCGAGATCCGTCAGTGGACTGTAGCCGGCACAATCACCAACACTAGCAGTTAGGGTCACGCCTTAGTCTGGTTGAAAGGCGAGACGCAAATACTAATAAGACGCCTCAAAAACGGGGATCCGTGGTTTTCGGGGACGCGCGGGGCTCCGAACGCCCTCCGAACGTCGACCCACATGTTTGTCAATGCGTTCACCCATTTTTCCCTAGGTCAATATGTTAGAATGAATGCTAGCTCCAGTCGTTGCGAACCCAAAGCATGGCGATATTTTCCCGGTTTCGACAAACTTCTTCGACTTGGTTTGCAGTTTCAAAATTTTGCCCTTCCCCTGGTCATCGGCAGGAGGGGGCGAGATCGTTTTTAGGCTGTAATGTTGCAACCAAAATGCGCCCGATAAAGGATATTCCACGCAAATCTCTTATTAGTTATAAAACACAACTTAAAAAAACGATTATCGTTGCTGAAAACCTCATGACCTGCGATGGGTCATTGCGAAGTTGTGTATCTTTAGAATCCGTGACGGCAGGGGTAGGACGATAAGTTAAGATTCTTCTCATCATCCGAGTACGGCTCACTCAGCCCGTTCCTCCTCGTAAATAGCTCATGCACTTAACCGCATCGCTGAAACTCACCGGAAGACAACTGCAGTGATGACAGCAGGTAACAGCTTTGACGCAAAGTAAAAGACCGCGGAGAGGATGGAGATCTGCTCCAGGCTGATGAGGCCTACGTTCCGCAGCAGGGTCTCCAGGAAGTCGCCTGGATGCACAGTCGCGGTGTTCAGCAGGGCTCTCCTATTCATACAGCACGGCAAAAACATACAGAGCTCTCCCCGCCAAATCCTGCAGTGTGGGCAGAGTAATTCACGCGACCTAACTGTCACGGTATAAGTACACAGCATGCTGCATAATACAGCACACAAAATACGGCACACAGCGAGCAGTATACAGCACAAGCGCTTGGAAAGTCACGGTGTTTAGTTCGCCTGACTAACATCGATGCCAAATATAATTTTGGTGGACAAGTGACGTGAACACACTTTGAATCTCCGTCCGTCGTCGCCCATACGGGCGTTATCACATCACGCAAAGCGCTGGTGTCAAGAGATGCTCACATTTCCGCAAGAAGTGTCCGTATGGCGGCAATGCGAACAGGGCGATCTGGAAGCAGAGCATCGGCAGGAGCGCCAGCAGGGTGATGATCAGGCACGCCTTCAGGTACGAGCCTAGCGGCCCTGCAAACGATCACACGCGACTTCAGGTATACATGACCACCTGCCCTAAAACGTGTCAATCCATCAGTCACAGACGTCTTCGGGTGCACATCCAGAGGCCCTCCAAACGGTTCCATGCGCCTTGGGGTACACATCCATAGGGCCTCCAAGGATACGGGAGCCCAAGTCAGCGTCCTGAGCCAGCAGGACCGGGTCCAGAGTGACTACGTATCGCGACCGAAGGCTGCCAATTGATCGGAGATCAAGGTACACGGTTCACCTCCACCTTAGTCAAGCTGGGAGAGAGGAGCTACGTTCTCCTGAACCTTCCCCATTGGGGACGTCCCGTCGCCGGTTCTTCGTACTGGCTTCCTGCCGCACCATTGACTCGTCGTCGACATGAAGCAGCAGACCCTGGAGACGGAGCGCGGCACCACCTGCGCCCGCGGCACTCCTGCCACCCTCTGTTCCTTGGGAATCCGTGCGATCACAGAGCCACGCTACACCAGCTTGTTGAAAGAATCCTCGGGAGTGACGTCACCGTCCCGGCTGCTAATGGTCCGCTATACTGTGACTCACCACACTGTGACGAGTGGACCTCCAGAGGTAGGACGCCCCGTCCTCTGGCTCCTGACCGCGTGCAGGTCGCTCGCCGCGGGTTTGACCGCGTGCTGGAGCTCGGCATCGTCCGTCCATGCGAAACAGTTGGGCGTCGCCAATGCACATGGCACCGAGGAAGAAGGCCGGAGAGTGGCGACCGTGTGGCGACTACCGTGCGTTCAACGCCACCACCGTTCTAGATACATGGTGTCGTACCTGGAGGACTCTTCGGGTAGCTCTCACGGCTGCACCGTCTTATCAAAGATCGATCTGGTGCGAGCGTACAACCAGATCTCGGTCGAGCCCGCAAATGTACCAAAGACGGCTACCGCCACACTTTTCAATCTCTTCGAGATGACACGCATGTCTTCGGTCTCAGGAACGCCTGCTACACGTTACAGCATTTTGTGGATGAGGTCCTGAGAGGTTCATCCAACTCAGCTGTTGTGTCCACCTGGACGATATACTCGTGCCATCACACGTCACAGGGGGAGCATCTGGGCCACTTCCGGCAGATGCTGCAGCGTCTGAACCGATTCGAGTCACCGTTAGCCCTGAGAACTGCGTCTTCGGCGTTAGTCGGATCCACTTCCTGGCTCACGATGTCACGCCCGAAGGCATAGCACTACTGTCGGAGAAGATGCCCACGGTGCCGGGCTATCCGCGCCCCACCAACACGGACTCAGCTTCGACGGCTGATCGGAGTCGTAACATACTACCATCGCTTCCTGCCGCAGGCTGCTGCTCTCCTGCGCCCGCTTCACCAGCTGCACGACCAGAAGCTGAAGCGATCGGTCCCGCTCGACTGGACGCCAGTGGCAGAAGACGCGTTCCAGCGCACCAAAGGCGCCTTGTCTCGAACCACTAAGCTGGCTCAGCCGTCGCCTGGTGCTGCTCTGAGCTGGCAGGCGGACTCCTCAGCCGCGGAAATTGGTGCAGTCCTACAGCAGTACGTCGATGGCGAGCGGTCTCCCCAGCGTTCGTCTCCAGGACGCTGTAGCCGGGTATAGCAGCTTCGGGCACGAGCTGCTCGCGGTCTACCCGACGGTGAAACACTCCCGGCACGCGTTGCAAGGCCGACATCTCGCTGTCTATACCGACCATACGGCGCTGGTGTCAGCCATCGGATCCAGCTCAGGCGCCTTCTCTCGGCATCTGGGCTTTATCTACCAATTCACTTCGGACGTTCGCCACGTCCCGGACCGGCACAATCCCGTGGCAGATGCTGTCTCTCGGACCATTTCGCTGCTGAAGTTGATCAAGCCTTCCCTCCAGGACTTTGACGTGCTCACTGTAGCTCAGAAGGAGGACATGGAGCTTCAACAGTTCCTGCAGATGTCACACGGTCGGCAAGTGCACGCCATGCCGCTGCCTGGCGGCAGCACTCATGTCCACATCGACCTGGCCGGGCCTGTACCGCCGTTGGTAGAAGCGGTAGAGGCCTCCACCGCCGTCTGCTGAACAGGTTTACCTGTGCCGACATGTGCCGACAGATTTACCTGCTAGTGTCTGACGCAACATAAACTGTCCGGCGTCAGGAGTATTCTACCCCGTTGTTGTGCAAAGAAGGAAGCTGCTAAGGCTATTGTCGGCGTCGCGTGCCCAGCTTGCCTCGGCCCTTCCAGACATTCTCACAAGTCACACGTTCGCGGTAAAGCAGCCGTAATTTGCATGCCAATTGAGTTGATTCGACATTAACGGAACCGAGTTAAATCGCAGTTATTTTATCTGTTCACACTTTAATAAATTAATCAAAGGCGTGCACGTAACAACGGATCCTTAAATTTGCCCGTGCATGCGGCGAAGAGAATCCCTCAAACAAGCCGTCATTTCCTCTCCCATGTCCCGCGGTGCTCCGGATGGTGATGGGGGCAGGGCACGGCCCGGCCCACGCGGCCGTATAATTAGCGCCACTGTCATGTGCCGTGCCACCGGCGACTTGTTCCTTCCGATGACTAACCGACGCCACGAACGCCAGGCGGCACCGCGGCGCTGAGCCCCACTAAAGCCGCTCACACACTGCCAGCGGCCGACAGGCTATTTGACCAGTGTCCGGGTCGGGCCCCCACACACATCATCGCCCCGGGCATGATCGCTCGCTAAAGCCCCTCTCCCCCCCCCCCCCCCCCCCGCTAGCCGGACGTACCCTGGACTCACCGTGCCAAGAGCGCCGCGTGGGCGCTGGACTCACCGTGCCAGGAGCGCCGCGTGGGCGCCGGTACCAGAGGGCACACCAGCAGCAGCGCCAGGTACACCAGCGAGATGGCGTCATACTGCAGACTGCAGCCTGCAACGGTGGCGGACGGTGACGTCACACGTGGTATAGGGCGGCAAAGAATGGCGGGATGTAAGAGTTCAACATGACTATCAACAAGTCACACTTCGCAGCATAACAATGGACACTTTATTTATGTGTTAATCATGCTACCAACTATTCTCTAATCTCTTGTGTTTTCTATTCTCCTACCTCTTTATTCCCCAGTGTTTGAGAGAAACAGTGCAACGATCCAGGCCTTACGCACTCCCTTGGCCATGTTTTTGTATGGGAACCGATTATATCTTGTAAGTGTCGCCTCCTGAACTTCACATTGGTTTCCGTGACGCACATCCACCATTCATAGAGCTTATATCGCTTATCAGCAGAAAAACGCAGTCTGAGTTCGTAAAATACAAGTCCGCTGCGAATGGCATCACAACCTCGCGCACGTGCATGAACGCCGCACCAACCTCCGTTAAAGCAAATGTTCCACACTTAAGGATATTGAAGCAAGCATTAGATATGATGAAATAAGCTCACTTAAAACTGTTGATGTACTTTTAAGTGGAAAAGGCTGCCCTACACAACACGATCTCTGCGTTTAGTTAATGTGTCGTTCAATACGTCATTGCGTCATCGCACCTGGCATAACATTGATTGAGAGCCAATTGACGGTCGTTATATTTGGAAATCGTGCTCACGAACGCCAGATATGAACGAATGACACTTATCTTGGCATCTTTGTCTTGGCATTGATCGAGGGATAGCCCATGCGACGGTGGTATTTGAATGACGTTGTTATGATTTCATGGATGCCTGGGTAACCTTGAAATAGTCTCCCCGAACGAGTCTGCACATCTTCGCGGTCGTGTAGCTCAGACGCTAGAAGGGTTTAGGTCACAGGAAGGGAAGGGCTGTGAACTGCACCGAATGATCTCGAAGACGGCTATTTCAGTTCAAAACCCCGTAAAATGTCGATCACTCCCTTTAATTTACATCCGCACGCAACGCCTCGGCACATGCGAGCGAGGGAAACCATGAGCACCAATCAACGGAAAACGACCCGCAACAAAACCAATCTCCCACAGCACACACAAACCCGACGACTGCGCGTGCGTCAGCCCACAAAACAGCCTTCCATCATCCCAGCTGACCAAACCTGGCTAAGTCCACACCGCGCCCGGCACAAAGGGACGCCCTCCAATAGCGCGCGTTCAGCCCACACCCGCAGCGACCGACAGCTCGACCCACTCCCCCGGACAGAAGCCGGCGTCGCTGAGCATTCGGCGCCGCTCCGCTGACACGCCTCTTCCGGCGCCACGTCCCCCCCCCCCCGCCCTCCTCCCCTCTCGTCGCCAACGACGCTCTGCGGGCTGGAAGGGGGTGGGGGGGGGGGGGGGGTCGGTTTGAACAATTTATCACCGTGTTGACGGAGCGCAGCGACCAGCCGCCCCGCCATTAGGCGAGTCGGACGTCCGAGTGTGGGGGTGGGGCGAAGGGGCAGAGGCGCGCTGATTACCCTGTCCGTCGCCCGGCGGCAGCCGGCACTCATCGACGTACCTTGGCGTTAGTAGCACAGCCGCTCTGCGGCGTCCTCTTCCTACCAGCCCCAAAGGCTCGCACGTTATATGCCTGCTTTTCGCAGAGCTGTACATCAAATTCCATTCTGCCCACTTCCACGAAGGCGGCACAAAAGATTGTCTCGTTGTCTTACGCCGATCCAAAGACAATTTTTTGCCGAGAGAAGCTAAACTCCCACGTCGCACAGGGTCAAAGTTTTCGTGCGCGGTATACTGCGGATTTTCCGACCCACGAGGCACGCCGCCTGGTCTCAGTGCCGCGGCCGGTAACTTCCGGGTCCGTAATACGAAGGTCGTGCGTTCGAGGCCGGATGATCCAGAACTTCTCCAGTTCTATAAGGAAGGGTGTTTGTAACAGCCGATGTAAGCTATCAGTGCAAGAATGCAAACGTTTTTCGAAGAAAAAAAGGTGTACACAACGCCCATTTAAACTCGAAAGTCACAGTCACAGTTGTATTCACACTGTTGTCACTAGTCACTACACATTCACCAATTGCGTCAAGCTGCCATCACTTTAAAGACCGTCAAATGTCTAGTGAAGGCTAGGTTATTGTCAATGGCGCTTTCCGACACACTCAACTGCAGAGGCTATATAGCGTTGCCTGCCTGTCACCGTTACAAAAATTGCGAGTACCGCGGGGATTCGAGCCCCATATCCCTGGTTTCCCCGACGTGCAGCGGTTAACGCAGACGCGTTTACCACTGCACCATCGGCACCCCATTTGATGCTAAGTTCTAGTACATCATTGGACATCTGATAAATTGCTAGCATTACACTTGAGTTTATGTACTAGTCTCCGTTCTATCCGACATCTATTATCCTGGGTGGCGTCGGCCCGTCTGGCTCCGACCGCCCGCGGGCGTGACGGGTCAGCCGGGGTCAGCCGGGATCAGCGGAGTCAGCTGAGGTCGGCAGGTGAGTGATGTCGGTAGACCAGGGTCAGCAAGGGTCAGCGAGGGTAAGCTGGGGTCAATGGGGGTCAGTATGAGGAAGCGGAGTTGTTCAAGTTTGGTGAGATTGGTGGGACGGGACCCAAAAGACAGTTGGTAAAGTTGGTGAGGGGACAGCTTGAACGGTGAATGATGTGGGAAGGATGGGTCAAACTAAAGTGAATGCAGTCTGAACGATCGGAGGATCCTGTCGGTATGGCTAAATTACACCAAGAAAGTTCGTGGGGCTGTGTATGCCAGTTGATGAAAAAGGCAACAGATGAAAGATATGAAGAACAGCAAGACTGAAGAACGAAGGAGCAATATCTACTAATCTGCTGGCGCCGGGGGGCTTGCGAAGCGACTAAATGACAGCAAGCAGCCGGCTAGAAGTAGGACACTTCCAAGGCTCGGCCACGGAAAATAAAAATACGGAAGAGTCGAATATCGAGCAACAACGCCTCCTTTCCAAAATACTCGCCATGGCGGATACCGCCGATGTGTGGCGATAACAGCGAATGGAAGGTACATCCACAGAAGCAATGTCACCAAAACGGCTGGCATGTGGTGAAGCAGGTTCTATTCTGAAGCGTATCGCAAGCATGCGTCTTAGAACTGTCAGAACGCATGATGAAGCGGGGTTTTACCTTAGCAGATAATTTTTAGCAACGCATGACCAACGCGAAGCCACACGTCCTGAACGTACATGTTGCGCGCAAAACAAACGCCAGCTTACCAACATTCAATCCGTTTCCGAGGTAGCCTAAACCACCGGCCAGGGGTATCACTTTACACTCTTTTGGGGAGCCTGAGCCCCCTATGTTGACCTGGCCCCACCCCAATGCTCCTTTGAGCCGCTCAATGCACATGGGCCAAGAGGGAATACTGGGCCACATAAATACAGAACAGTTATAGATAAGACAGTAGTAACAATAACAAACAATAGCAGAAGTCTGCTATTGCTTTGATAAAGGCATGTTGCCGAAATATCAACCCAACCATGTCTCCATTCTCCTGGTCGTCTCCATTCTCCGATGTATAAGACTAACACTACTGTCTTATCTACGTGAATAATGTTCCTCGCTCATGCACTGAACAACTTACAAAACAGTTATCTTAACCATTGATAAGCTTGGTAGTAGGTACCTTAACACAGCACTTCTAGTATGCATCATGCTAATTTTGGACCAAATAGCATCCTGTACGTACCTTATGTTTTTTGTAATGATGAAGTAGCCAACGGCTTGATATGCTAAGCCACTCTGCATATCTTTGATGTGTGATGATGATTTGGGGTTTTAGGGCGCATCGACTGCTGCTGCAAATCTTTGACAAGTTTTTTTTTTTAAATGACAACGCCTGGATTAAAAACAGATTAAGGACCTAGGATAAAACAATTGACTGCAATATACGGCAGTGTATATAAGTACAGGATGGCACGTTTTCAAGTTCACGCAAGGCTTCTCCAAACGAAGAAAGTGTATTTGTGGCATAATCGTGGCTGTGGTCAATGGTGGTCGCGCAACACGATCGGAGACAGGAGTCATCAGTGATCACTTACTCACATTTACACAGCTTTAGATGGGAAGCCACTCCTCCGCGGGAAAACAATTTTTAATCAGCTTGATGCTGGAATATGTTGAAGTCGAGGACGCACATTGAAGTGACCCAAATCCGGGGAGAAATCACGTTTTGGGGGGGTTGGGCCAACTTTTTGGCTGACCCCTACCGGATTTAAGAAAGTGATAACCCCTACAGCAGGCACACAAGCTAACCGTCTGTGGTGAACTCCCAGGGCACCTTTACAGTACGCATTCGGAACTACCTGACAGGCCAGCTATAGGTCACCAATATGTGCGTTTTATGTACGTACCTATATATCAGTCGACGTACACTACATTAGCGTCTTTCAGCAGGCCATTAAAACAAAACAGCTTAAAAAACGTCACGGAAAGCCAACGGCAGATGCCGTCAAATTAAGAGCTTTCACGGGCTGTGCGCCAAGCCGGAGGCGTATGCTCGGTGTGCGCACTTCGGGGAATCCATGCCAGACTGAGCCGCGGCTAATGCCACACGGAATCCGAGGATGGTCATGCCTCTGCTGATCACGCTTCTGTTGGAAACCAGCTCCGAGTTGACGATGAAACAGCGGTCGCTCGAACCGCACATCGCCTGCTAGACAAAATATTAGCAAGTGGCGTAGAGCATCTTACGCATATAACTCATCCCTCAAAATTACACTGCACCATCCAACGTTTTTTTATTCACACAAAATGTCACCAGGGGCTAGTTCATCAGCTGATCTAAGGCTTTTCAGTGACAGCGATTTTCTACTTTTCATCTTTTGTTTCCAACATGGCTGAAGCGAGCTATGTTTATAGAACGATCGTCCGTTCATTTCTGTCAACGATCTAACACATAACGATAAAAAACAAAAAAAAAACTGTGAATGAACAACAACAGATTGAACAGTCAACCGCCAGGCAGATCGTTAAGCTTTACGAGCGTTTTACGAGCTCAGTGAGCCGCCCCTGTGAGCTTCGCCCGACCTAAGCGCCCCAGGCGCTGCCAGCCACCACGGTCCAGCGGTCCAGCGGTGGTCCGGTGGTCCGGTGGTCCGGTGGTCCGGTGGTCCGGTGGTCCGGCGGTCTAGCGGTCCAGCAGTCCGGCGGCAGTCCGGCGGCGGTCCGGCGGCGGTCCGGCGGCGGTCTGGCGGTCCAGCGGTCCGGCGGACCGGCGGTCCGGCGGACCGGCGGCGGACCGGCCCGACCCCGCCAAGTCGGGTCACTCGGCTGATCGGGGGGTCGCGGCCCCGAGCCGGACCGGCCCGATGGCGTAATCCTACGCTGTACCATGCCAGGGGCGGTGGCACTGGAGACGGGCGGCCCGGCCTCTGCCCCGTGTCGGCCGGCCCATGCGCCCATTATCGAGCGCCCGTCCCGGCGGCGTGCCAAACCTGGCTTTCTGCTCGCACCGATCGGCCCGACTTTCCGTCGGCACCGACGCACCGGGCCTGACCTTTTGTCGGCACTGACACACCGGCGTGACCTGTCGGCGCCGACGCGCCAGACCTCCCGTCGGTACCGACACACCGAGCAGACGTTCCGCTGGTGGCGACGCGCCGGACCTGGCCTTCCGTCGGCACCGACGCACCGGGCTTGACCTTTTGTCGGCACTGGCACACCGGGCGTGACCTGTCGGCGCCGACGCGCCAGACCTGGTGCCGACACGTCGGACTTGCAGGCGGTCACGCGTGTTTGCGTGGGCGGGACCAACAAACGGCGCTCCCTCGTTGCCCCTCGTTGAAACCGCTCGTGTCCGCCTTTATCCGACCGGCCGCTATTCTACGAAAAAGCCAGCATGCTTGGTCGATGCAAATCTGCCAGATCTCCTCACAAGACGCTTACACCTACCCACGCAGCAGCTTATGCAGATCACGTGGGGCTTGTTCTGACGCTGACCTCCCCCCCCCCCCCCCGACGCGTCGTCGCGGGGTGGCGTGCGGTAACAGTCAGCAGGCCACTTGTAGGCCGGGCACGCTACACCAGGTGTCAGCCACTTGTGTTAACAACTCCCGAACGCCCGTTGAGTCATTTAAGATGAAACTGGCCGCAATTCCGAGCAAACAGTTCAATAGCAGGTCACGCCGTTGGCTCAAAATCATTCCAAATGATTGCTTCCAGTGCTTTAAGCAAAATACATACGGTTCAAAGTTTGTAATGAAGAAGTGGATGGTGACATCGCACTGGATTCTGGGCATAAGGAAGAGGTCTGTTAAATGTGCATTATTTCTCAGTTTTTCCAACGAAGCCGCTCACACCAGCCTGCCTATCATACGACGACACGATATATGGAGCAGCTAGAATGTATTTTGTTTGGCCGAGCAGACCTCCACCAACCGACCCCAGCTTTAGCTCCAACACAAACAGCGGCACCGATTTCGAAACGCTTGCTCCGACGAAAAACGTCTAAAATTACTTCCGTAGTTCATTAACGGCTCATCTAGCACTCATTAAACAGAGTGGTATGCGTATCAAATGCATGTCCGTGACTGAACCTGGTCACCGGCCCTACGAGCCGCCCTTCCAGCCTGCCTGGGCGCGCCTTCCACCTGGACCTGCCCCCCCCCTCCCCCCCCCCGTGCAGATAGCCGCAGCCGGCAGCAGATGACAGTCAGCGTAGTCCGCGAAACGGTGCACCTGTAGCAGGCCCCTCCCCCCCCCCCCCCTCCCCCTCCGGGACGTGTGAAGCCGCCGCCGCCGCGCCGGCGCCCAATAAGTCGCGTCACAATCGGCGCCGGCGCGCCACAATCGATGCGTCGACTTCCGCCCTCATTACGGCGGCGATAGACGGCCGCGGCCCACCTGGGAGTGCGCGGCGGCCAATCAGGGCGCTTCGCTCGGCTGAGTCGGCGCTCATCAGCCGCACACGCCGGCTCCCAACACCGGACGATAGTGCGTAGCCGCGACAAAATGTGGCCACCAAATATGCACAGCTGACAGATAACCCGCCGGCGCGTGAAATGGCTGTGATGGAGGACGGCGGCGCTGCCGACATCTCGGCGCGCGGGGCCGGCGGGCCGACACTCTGGTGTCGTGTGCTAGGACATGACACCAGAGCTGTACGTCTGGTTTGAACGTAAGTGGCGTTTGCAATCGCTAACGAGCATTGCGGCTGCGTACAATCGGGACGTTCTGATGTCCGAGCGGCCAATGCTTTGAAACTATGCCTTCATACACGCCTTTTATAAAGGTCGATATTGTCCTGTTGCTAAGTCAAACGATTACAAATTTTGGAGGTTTCATACCAAGCGGCCCACCTCTAAAAGCAACTATGCCACACTTAAATCACGCTTCAACAAGAAACGATAACAAAACAACTTACAAATTTTAGTGTTCGCACATACGCGCCAATAGTGCAAACACGTCATGAATCAATAACAAAATCAAGAAAGCTAGAAGGAGTGTTCCACATTTGTAGAGCGTTTGACCTGAAATTGCCATCTTGAAGACTATTCGATGCAGTCCACAGCCCTGCCCTTCTTTAGATATAAGCCTTTCCAGGTATCTTAGCTACACGGCCGCGATGAAGTGCAGACTATTTCGGCGAGACTATTTCGAGGCTATACATGCATCAATGACGCCATAACAACGTTATTAAAATCCTGCCATTTTTTTACCACGCCGTGATTAAGACCAAGGAAAAATATGATCGTCGAGTCGTTCTTATCTGGCGTTTGTGAGAACGATTTCCAAATATAACTGCCGTCAAATGGCTCTCAGTCAATGTTGGGCAAGGTACGATGACGTAATCAAACAACGACATATTGAAGAGCATATTTACTAAACAGAGGAACGGTGTTGCCTGAAGCAGCCTTTCCCACTTAAAAGTAAGCCATAAGTTGTAAGTGAGCTTGCTGCATCATATCTGATACTTTATAATCTTCACATACGAAACATTCCCTTAACTAGCGGCAGCAAAAACAAACAGCTATCTGAAACTAAAAATGTTTTTCAAACATTTCTTTTTAAGAAACCTAACCGCATGGGTGCCACGTCAGAGGTGAGTTTGCTCTGCTGTCCAAGTCTGCGAGGCGATGCACTACGCTCACAACTCTCTTACAGAGGCACTGTTCCGAACGCTGCGTCGTGCTAACACCCTGCAACAAAGCAGGCTTTGAATGGTTCGTGGGATTTGCAAAGACGAAGTGGATGGCAAACACAACGCATGTTCCGACATGTGTAAACTTTGTTTTCTTCTGAGCTGTGTCCGATTTCGATAGTAGCTCTGTTGAAGCCGGAAATAGTTCGCCACGTCCAAGCGTTCTTGATACCAAGTGGCCACGCAGGTTCGAATAAACAAGCCGTGCAATGTTACAACCTGAATTAGAGAACAGTCCCACTTGAAGGAAGGAACGAATACCTGCAGGGCCGACAGCGCGAGCACGGTCCTTACTGCTAACCATAGTTTGTTGCGAAGACCCTGATTCCGCCACTGTAACCTTAACTCCAACGTAAGCGCAACTCCAACGCTGCTAGCAACTTTGACCACCAGATTCTGCCGTGCCACGGAGCGGCATGTCGCGGCTGCTCCGTGCCAGTCTCATCTCGTCATAACCAGATACCGGCTTGCCGTCTCTGACGAGCCACCTAACCGAATCTGGCTTCCGGGACACGAAACTGCCTTGTGTGCTGGCCTTGTGGTTACGTGTCGGTGCGGTGCAGTGTGTATCGGTGCGCTGGGCTATTCAGGAAACTCAACACAGAGGCATGGTCAACGGCGTGGCTGATCGTAACCTGTTTATCCACCTCCGCCCCACCAATCCGTCCGTTTCGGTCAGAGCACAGCCCGCACTGGATGCAAAATGTTGACATTTGCAACATGATCACCATAATCCGAAGCCACACAACCACCAGATCGCAGAGGAGCTGACCCATCATGCCAGCTGTTGGTGAAGCCCCGTATGATGCATAGTCGATGGGTCATCATAATCGGATCAAGTGGATCCCTTTTCAAACTCACGGATCAGTAGCCTTACGATGGTGAAGGGGAAATGATTCGCATCTACAGGACCTTCTCGCACACGTTTTGCAGCATTCCCACAATGCGGCCTTCGGCAGCCATCCGTATTTGCACGGCCGCATATAATTACAGATGATTTTAAGCACTGATGTGCAATGCCACGTTCCAATTTAATTGGCTCAAAAAGGTCGGAAATTGCACAAGTGCGGCGGAAACGGGGTAACAGGCGCTCACACCCAAACTGCCGCAAACAGCCGCCGGGCATATGCATCAGAACTGCTGCTGTACAAGGCCAGGCCATTAAACGATGATGAGACTGGCGGAGAGCAGCAACCCCAAGGGCCACGAGCACTCTGCGAGATGATGAAGCTGAGAGGCAGCAGCAGCCCCAGATGGCGGCCCACTCACCGATGATGAAGCTGAGCGGCAGCAGGATCCTCGCCAGGCACCAGCACACGCCCTCGCCCGCCATTTTGCGCGCCTGGAGTCGGCGCACCCTGCCAAAGGCCACGTGTCGTGAGGTTACGCATGGGCGTCCGTGAGGTCACGCGTGGGGCGTCGTGAGGTCACATGTGGGATAAGGTCGTCGACACTGTCCGGCAGCTCCCACCGGGCGCAGACAAACAAGCCGCCGCGGCTGCGGCCAGACGGCCGGCCAGCTATTCCTTCCAACGCGACACTTGCTCGCCGTACATTGCACAGCTGTCTGTCACGATCAGGTGATCTAACCCGGGAAGGTATGGCCGAAAACGCATTCATCACGAGGTTAATCCAACAATCGACGAGACGCAATCAGCTGCCTTTCAAAACAACGATGTGTGTGGTTCCCTGGTTTGCTTGCAGCAATCCCTCTGCTTTCTCGCGGCTGTTCTATGGCAGACACTCCAGACTTAAAATGCCGGCATCCGTGGCTGTGACGCACAATGACTGTTACCACGATCATTAAAGCCTCCATCTATACCAGTCTGAGGTCCCAAACTGTGAGTTATTGGATGTCTATCATTGGATGTCTATTGAGCGCCTGCCCGTTGCGTGTCGACACGGGATTTCGACCATCCACAGCTTTGGGGTCTGCGTTGCCTATAGTTTCGGTTCAGCGCACACCAGTTGGCGCGCGCATGCGCCAGCGACACTTTGCATTCTACACGTAGACTACAAACGGCACTTTACAACACGTGCGATGCAGATTAGAGGTGTCAGTTGGATTTCAAATTTTTGGAAATCCCAAAATTAAAGCTTCCGTGGTCCAATTTGAGAACTGGACCGACAGCACCAATTCTTTTTTAAAATTTGCTGCACATCGGATACCATTTTGTCGTGTTCCAAACTGGTATGGTTTAAACTTAACTAATACTGATAGTTTTAAAGCAGTTGTATTATGGAACAAACAAGGTGTCGACAGGGCACATAAGATATTACTATTTTTCGAAACATTAGATCAAAACCCTCATCGTCACACTGTCAAGTGTTCGTTGGGTTAGGGGGTTATAAATTGGGATGCGAACGTGAGCATAGGTGCTTCCAAAATCAGCAGTTCGCACCAGTTTTGGATCCCCGTGTCACGGCTGCGGCAGTTATCATCAGACGCTGATTGTGTTAGGTTAACCTAAAGAGCAAACTAAAATTGTCGAGCTGTTTGTTCTTTTTTATATGGGGTGATACGGGTTCGTACAAAAGTTGTTCACGGTTGTGAAACATTTAAAGGTAAAATGGCATCGCCCACTGCCCAGCGCCAGGCACTAGCCCACACTGGCCTTTATATTCAAGAACGAAGGCGGCGGGGGCCGTAGTTGGTCTGGTGGCGAGACACGGTGTACTGCTAAGGCGACTCCGCCGAGCGCCAGTGATGCTGCGACATTCCGCGTGAATACGAGTCGAGTCACCCGACACTCCCGCCGTCGGTTCATCGTTTGTATACCCCTGTACCTTAAGACCTTGGTCTTAGTTCTGTTGGCGCCGTGCCCACTTTTAGTCAGACGTAATTTTCCATTCGTGCGCGTGAAGGTGCGGGGCCCATGCAGCGCCATCTGTCGAGCGAACTCCCTTGCCATGGGTGCGATGTTTCGACACAAATTCACTGCAATCTAACCTCCGGTAATGTGCAGTCAGCTTATAGGCAACGGGTTCAAACTGAACTAGAAACTTGCAGCAGTCGCCACACAACCCACAACTTGACTTCATTTCACCACACCTCCAGACATGGCGGCATACGACACCAGCGTCGATTCTCCTCTATCTCTAGAGAGTAGAGAGATCCTCTTCTCTCTCTCTCCATAGAAGCAGAGAGCAGAGAGAGTGAGAGAGAAAGACGAGAGAGAGAGAGAGCTAGAAAGAGAGAGAGAGAGAGAGAGGAGGAGAGAGAGGAGAGAGAGGCGAGGAGTCGCGAGGAGAGAGAGCAGAGAGAGAGAGAGAGAGAGAGAGAGAGAGAGAGAGAGAGAGCTTCTCTCTTCTCTCGAGCTGCGATAGAGCTCTCTCTCTCCTCCTCCTCTCTCTCTCTCTCTCTCTAGCAGATACTCCTCTCTCTCTCTCTTCTCTCTTTCTCTCTCTATCGATCTCTCTCTCGCTCCTCTCCTCTCTCTCCTCTCTCTCCTCTGCTCTCTCTCTCTCTCTTATCTCTCTCTCTCTCTCTCTCTCTCTCTCCTCTCTCTCTCTCTCTCTCTCTCTCTCTCTCTCTCTCTCTCTCTCTCTCTCTCCTCTCTCTCTCTCTCTCTCTCTCTCTCTCTCTCTCTCTCTCGCTCTCTCTCCATGGGTCTGTCTCCAGCAAACTGTTCCATCCGCCGAACCATGGCACGAATCTCTCGTAAGCTGTACGCCAGTCCGGCGAAGACGGTCTGGAGCATCAGAGGCCACCAGAGCCGTTTGGGGAATCGCTATTCACACGGGGTACGATCGATGCAGCTGTTTCGAGCGCCCACCGCTTCCAAGGACAGCCATCTCAGAGACGGACCTCCCGCCACCGACTGACCTCTGGCATTTGGGTCCCGCGAAGCAAGGCAAGGGCGTCGGCAGCTGTTTGGAGCATTTGTACGTAACTATTCATTCTTTGGCAAAGTGATCAGCGCCATTTCGTGTTGTTAGCTACAGGATCGCATCACAACAAGCACGACAGCTTCAGGCCACGCAAGCACCAGCACCCATCCCTCATTCCTGCGTTCCCTGCGTGACCGCTAATGGCAGCAGCCAATCAGAGGAGGCCGTCGCGAGACGTCCCGGGCGACCGTGTCATGCATGCTGTGCCGTGTACTGCCGCAGTGCCGCACTGTCACGTGACCACGTGAGTCCCCAATATCCGACATCGGTTACGTCTCGGTCGCGGCGGGAGGGGCACGGTACATGACGGGTCACGGGATCGGTGCGGCGCTAATGACTTCTTATGACTCACATGGGATCTGGTACTCGTAATCAGTAGCACCGTCACGTAGCAATATAAAGCAGTGTAAGAGGCAATCGTGCGGTGACCGGCGGAGGGAGCGGGGCTCTTCCGCCACACACGACATTACTGTAATACCTTATAAGGATCGCATTACACCGGTCACGCAACATAATGCATAACGACCCTGTATGCTGCAGGGCAGTTGGTGCCAAATACAGGTGATGCGTGCCACAGGTTTGGTAAGTGTCAGGGGACACCATAAGACAAGCGGCAAAAACGGTAAAACCCATAGACGACAAGTCCTTAACTATTCAGAACAGCTTCACCTCTATCCTCGAGAACCACTTATCAGCAGGATGCCCAGTTTTTTCCATTTTCGTGGGCGTCGGAAATCGCTAAACGTTGGCCTGGGAGGAGCGCTGCTTCAAGCCGTTATTTTACCACGTTTCAATGCAAGTGTTCCAAGGCTGCCGTGCCGCCGTCCCTCCGCCTCAACCCCCATCCCCCTTGCCATATTCGAACACCACACTTCCCTTTTTGGCCATGAACTTCCGAACTTTTTGCAGGTCGACCGTACTGGTTTTCTCCCGCAACGTAAGATTAGAAGTTGACGTCGGAGGCCCACTATCTTCCGGGCGGACATGGCCGGGTCTCTGTGACCGGAAGCAGAGCACAACATGCTGTCCAGAGTCCGCAGAACACAAAGAGCGGAACTGATAGGTAGCCTTGCAGCCGCCACGTATTGCACACACACACATAACCAGCTTACGTGTATCTGCGCCACCGGTGCTGCAGTCGCTTTACACAGCTTTACACACCCCGCTATGCACGTGTTGGCCTACTTTAGGCAGAGGCGTATGCATACTTTGGCCCCGAGGACATGCAACCCTGCCTTATTGATTTGTATGCGCATTTACGTGTGCGACTAAATGTTGCCTCTAAAAATTGGGGTAGACACGTAAAAATAATAAGATCAAGAGCACATGGCGTTTTAAGGTCATGCAACAAATCTGCCGCGTCCGCAGCACGCTCAACTTGTTTTACTGAAGAAAAAAACTTTGAATTGTGTCCCTCCTATCGCGAAATCCTGCGTACGCCCCCGACTGGTGGCGGTCTCCTCCCCGCGAACGACATGAACGTAACGATACTGAGGATCCCTGGACACAGCGGTGTAGTGGGAAATTATAAATGCGATAATATATGTAACAAATTGCACGAAATAACTTGAAATTGCCAAAATCTTCCAACTACTTTAGGGCGCCCAAGCTCACACAATACTGTCACCTAGTCCCATAGCTGGTACCAACAAAACAGTGTGTTCATACGCTTCAAAATTACACCATGTTAGCAAAGGCCAACGGTAAAGGTCAGGTCACCTTATCGGACACGATGAGTCTAATACTCTAGTGTGCATGACATATTGAAGTCATTGGTTCAAACTGTCAACCATGATACATCAAGGTTGGTAGGGTAATGATTGGGTTTTAAGGACGCGTCAACTGCCATGGCTGCTTGCGAGACTGGCTCTGACCTACAGCGACCTACTGACCTACAGCGAGACTGGCTCTGACATACAGTGATCTACTGACCCCCAGCGAGACTGGTTCTGAGGGACAGGCAGTAAAGACAATCGGTGAGGTACATCACAATAATCCGAAACGTGAATGAAAACTGGGAATAACGGGACGCAGCGGCAAAGATCGCCGTATAAGCCTTCACTGGTGGCATGGCTCAGCTCCCCCCCCCCCCAAAAAAAAATCGACGCGTCAAATCGATCATCGGTCAGATGCAGAGCAGGCAGTGTACCTGCCTGGCACAGCTGGGAGGCTGTTCCAGAAACTCGGATGGAACTCTGGCCCACGGCGGTCGGCGTGCAGCTTACCGGTGAACACGCGGGTGCGACATGGGACAACCACCGACACACAGACGGGAGTGACGTCATCATGTGGATCAACAGCCGAGCTAGCGGAGCCAGACACCTGTCTGAGTCATAGAAATCGGTCTTACCGAAGCTCTACGGCGTCCACGTTTCATAAGGGTTCAGCAGGCGAAGAGGTTCACTGAGGTAGCCTTTGAGAGTTTATCCAAAGTAGTGTCGTTCGATGATTGTCTGGAAGGGCCCGGCCACGGCCAGTCATTTCGGATGACGAAATCAATGAAACAGTATTGATGCGTGTTTTTTATGACGGTGAACGTAGCACCGTAAGATTGTACTACTGTGAGTGGATACTGACCACAACAAACTCACCTTTACGCTGGTCGAGTTTCATGCGGGAGTTGCTCTTGGTTTAAGCCACATCAAATGGTATTCGAGGCTTGTTCTACATAACCAGCATTATCCGCGTCCCCAGCCAATTACCGGTATTGCCATGGGTCAGACAGCGCTAAAATCGCTCAGCCTAATCACGAAATCGTTCCCATCCTCCGGTGCAACTAAGGACGCTTCCTTCATGATGCCTTCTGCCTCCCGTACAATTCCATCCGTCTCTCTTTCACTGTTTCACGCTTCACCCGAGTCCTCACAACGCCCAGTTTATCCGGGGTAAGCTGCATGCATCAGCCATGCGTGGGCTTAAGTGCCTACCTTGGCGAGAGCTTCTCCCGAGCGTCCGCACGAACCCCCGAGGGGTCCCTGCTCGGGGTAAGTCTCCGTAGCGCGGCACTCCCATATGCATGTCGTCTCGGCCCACCACTCTCCACTGCATCGTTCGTTCGACCTTGAAATGGTCAGCACTGGCCAGAACAGCTCTTAACCAAACTAAGCTGAACACATATTTCGTGAGCGTATATTGACATGTGAGCACGCCTGCGCCCCATTGTTGAGTTTGTTTGTTTGTTTGTTCGTTTTTTTGT